GTTTTAATTATTAATGAGGAAAACAACTTAATTCTCTGAGTTAGCCAGATCTTCCCTTGAACTTCCTCTCACCCACTTACTAACTAGTTCTTTGGGCAAGTTCTCTGCCATCCCTAAGGCCCTCATAGATAAATGTATGATAATATATGCAAATAAATACAAGATAATGTATGTAAAGCATCTAGTAGAAATTACATCTATGATAAACTTGACTTTAAAATGCAAACTGCATTTTATTGTTTCCCACCTTACCTTCCTCACAAACTCAGTGCCATCAAGTCAATGTAGAGTCAAAGTGACCCTATAAGACAGGTTACAACTGCCCCTGTGAATATCCGTGACTTTAACTATTTATGGAGTAGAGAGCCCCTATCTCTCTCACATTGAGCAGCTGCTGGTTTCAAATTGCAGACCTTGCAGTTAGCGCCCCAATGCATAATCACGGGCTCCTCCCTCCATCACAAACAGACTTTAATTTTATTAACTCCAGTCCATTTTCTAAAATTACCTTCTGTATCAGGGAAGAAGGGGGAACCGATCACAATGATCTACATATAACCCCCTCCCTGGGGGACAGACAACAGAAAAGTGGGTGAGGGAACACATCGGACAGTGTAAGACACAAAAATATAATAATAACTTATAAATTATCAAGGGTTTGAGAGGGAGGGAGGGAGGGGGGAAAATGAGGAGCTGATACCAAGGGCTCAAGTAGAAAGAAAATGTTTTGAGAATGATGATGGCAACAAATGTACAAATGTGCTCGACACAATGGATGGATGTAAGGATTGTGATAAGAGTTGTACGAGCCCCATATAAAACTATTTTTTAAAAATTACCTTCTGTGCCTAAAAGGTAGTTATGTTCTTTGATAAATTTTACAATAGTCTCTAAAAATCCACTAACCCTTAACTGGTGACATAAGTTCTAACTACAGAAATCTCACCCCCCACCCCCACCCCCACAAAAAAGGCTGAAGTAAAGCAGAGAGAGTTGGGCCTCTCTCAACCTGACCAACTGGCAAAGGCAAGGCCCTTCCCAGTGCCACTACCAGGGAGCCGTGTCAGATCTGAGCAGATATTCACTGATACAAACGAAAAAAGGGGGCTGAGGGGAAGACATGAAATGCTAAGAAAACGAAAATAATTTTTGCTCTCAGTAAAGTCACCATCCTCAAGCAAGACAGAAATACATATGTAATAAAATAGAAACACGTGGTGGGTGCTATGAACAGAGAGTGTGTAAATACTAGGGGAACACAGAAGAGCAACAAACTCTACCTTGCAAAGGAAGAGACGGCTTCAAAGAGAGAGATTATAAATTGAACAGCAAAGGGAAAATTTGTCACACAGACAGGAAGAAGAGGGCCCTCTACGGAGATGAAACTGTGTGCCGAATAAAGAATTCACATCTCTACTATCTAGGGGTGGACGTAGTGACAGTGGTGCATGGAATAGCAACAGATGAGACCAATGAAGGCAGCACTGGGGGGGGGGGCACACTGGGCTGAATATGAATGCTACACTAAGAAAGTTGTAGTCTATCTACCTTGACAAAAATGGATAATGTTAATGGAGAATTTGAATGGAATAGAAAATGCTAGAGATTATCTGACATTGTAAAAGCCAGTTTTATACAACTTTAATGCCAGAGATATGTGTGTATATTAGATCACAAAATAAGGTCCTCAATTACAAAATGAGGTAGGTGACTGACCAGATGTAGAAGGTGGGGGGGGAGTCAAGAATGATACCCAGGTTTCTAGTGTGGGCATCTGAGCAGCTCATAATAACACAGACCAAGCCAGGGAAGCAAGAAGGAGGTCTGCTTTTATCAAGTCCACAGCAACCTCTCAGCATTTTCAGCAGCCACAGACAATACTAATCTTGGTTAGCAAAGACAAAGGACTCACAGTCATTGCAGCTGCAAGCTCACAGCAATATACAACTGACAAGGCCTTCTAGAAATCAGAATGGTCCTAGAGAATATGATTTCAACAGTTCTAAACTTCAGTCACAGAGCCCTAGTGGCACAGTAGTTCAGCACTCTGTTGCTACCTGAAAGATCAGCAGTCTAAACCCACCAGCCATTATGCACGAGAAAGATGTGGCTGGCAGTCTACTCCCGTAAAGACTGACAGCCTTGGACATCCTATGGAGTAGTTCTACTCTGCCCTGAAAGGTCACTATAAATCGTGATCTACTCAACATCAATGTGTTTTATAATCTCAATCAATATAAAAACTTGGGAACCAGAGTAGCAAACAGGGTAGGGGAAACATCAACACTTCCTCCAGGTAACTAACAAGATGCCCATTCTTTTTTTATCATTTTTTTAGGGGCTCATACAACTCTTATCACAATCCATACACACATCAATTGTGTAAAGCACATTTGTTCATTCATTCCCCTCATCATTCTCAAAACATTTGCTCATCACCTAAGCCCCTAGCATCAGTTCCTCATTTTTTCCCCTCCCTTCCCGCTCCCCGCTCCCTCCCAAGATGCCTATTCTAAGAGGCAACAGGGAGTCATCACCCTTGGTAACCCAAGCAAACTCTCTGGACAATCTGACAGCGGGGTTTTTATTTTAATTGGGAGGGAGGGTTGTTTCTACTTTTATAAGCCTTCACACCTCTCCCTCACACCACCACAGGAGGTAGTTGTATTGCAAGCCCATTGAGTCCTATAGATAATACTGGATCTGGTTATCTATCCCTTGGGCATTTCCTGGAGCTTCACCCTAGAGATCACAGGTAGAACAGAGCTTGCCACAGCCGTAGAGGTGGAGTCATTATTCCTCTCCTAATTCCTCTGTCCCTCAGAGGAGAGGATACGTCAATTCCTTAAGGGCAAAATTAGGGTCCACACTACTTTTCTGGTAACCCTTCCTACTACATTCCTCCACACACCTGCCCTAGACAATTCAGACAACTGGCTGTGCTCAAATACTCCATGTTCTTGTATATGTTCTGTCTTTTGCTCCTGCTATTCCCTCAGTCTTCCATGACCTCCATTTGGGACAGAAATTTTACAACTCAACTGTCCTCTCTACCACAGAACCATCCTTTACCCAACACTCCTCTGCCCCTCATTTAGGTTCGGTCACACCTCCAGTGCTTCCACAGCATGTGCCTGTGCCTGGCTCATAAGACTTCTTTCAGTCTGTCATCCATGTTATGTGACAGTGGTTCTGTCTGCTTTCCCTCTAAGCTGTTTCTTAAAGGTAAAGTCTGTGACATATCCTCCTTCTCTCCAAAGCCAAACCGTTTGAGCACACTGCAGGTCTTCAACAAGAGTTCATTGACTCAAACTAAAAAGCTACTGATTCATTCCATCAGTCTATAGATCATCAGAATTAAGGAAAAAGTTAGAGGGGAGACCAAGGAAGTATTTAAGCAAACAGCCTGCCTCTCTCGCCCTCCATACTAAACTGGCACTCCCCACTTCAAGAAAGTAAACCAACCTCAGCAGAACGCAGGAGGCATGGTTTGGAAATGGTGGCTGACTAAAAGAACTATAAGCAGTTTCAAGGCTTTCTGGCTGCTGTTAGTCAGGTATTGACCTTGGGATGTGGTCACAGGGATTATATATTTTATTTTGCAATCCACTCCCTCTAACACTCTAATACCTGTAGCTATATGCGCAATAAAGAGTCTTTCATACAGGCACTGAATATTATCTTTGAGTTCCTCTGGGAACAGCTTAATCCTCCTTCCAACCCTCCCACCTTTCCAGTGAATCATTCCACAGTGCCACCTCAGCAGGCCTCCCCTCTTGAAAAGGTAGTTTCCCTTTTAATATATCCAGCCTTCCTTCCCTCCCTGGCCTTCCATGCTAATCTTCTTCATTAGGTAGGAAAACTGGAGAGTCGTTTGCATTTTTAGCTGCCTGACTAAACGACATGTACATTTCAAAGAACTAGTAGGTAGAACTAGCAAGAGCTTGATAGTTGTGGCTTCCCCCTTGCTCCCATAAGCACTACATACTCACATTAATTACAAAACTTGGCCATTCTGATTTGTATTCATATGTCTTCTCTCCCTCTCTCACTAGATGATGAGCTTCTTCAGAACTATCCCTTATTCCGAGCCAAGTGACCAGAACATGGTGCGCACACAATTAACTGCCAGCTTAGTGAAAAAGAGCAAAAAGTAAACGTTTAGCCAACCTCCGTGACTATGTGAGTGCAGTAGAAGAAACCTTTCAGAGGTGATCAAAACCATAATGTCTTTATATAGTCGTCAGCGCTGTGATGTAAAGGTGCAACTAAAGGCAGTCTCAAACAAGGCTGCTTTTGACAAGGCAGCCACTCCCCACGCTCCTCAGATGCTCACTATGGTCAAAGTAGTCACTCGGTTCTCCAGAAATTACTTTTCCTAGACCTGGCAATGTAGTGAATACATTCCCCACCCCCACTTCAAGGTCTCTCCTATATCCTTCTGGCCTTTAGCAGTGTGTGTAACATTAGGTGAAAATTTGATTTTTTTTGGCTACTTATTTCACAGCTGAAGAAAAAATATACTGTTTAAAGTGTTAAATATTTTTACATTCAACAAACCTAGCATGAATCTAACCTGTATGCACATTTTCGAGGTACAGGCGTAAATGTCAGCGCTATAATTTGTTATAGGTTTCTGATGACCAGCAATGAAAATGACCACAGATTCTCACAATTCAAACCACTTTTACGTAAATGTGAACTTTCCTAAAACACCCAAAGGAGAGAACTTTCCATCCAAGCTCATGGAGTCTCTAAGAGATACTGATAGCATTGTTCACTGAATTAGGTGTTCTACAAATATTAGTTTCTTTCTGAGTCTGTGCTTTGACCTTTATAAAAATGTGCTTCAAGACACGTCATTAAAATGAAAGAAATCATTTTAATGCCTGAACTACCATTTCATATAATCAGCCCTGCTGAAAGATATATCTTCAGGTCAGCAGTATTAAACAATAATAGTAACACACTTGGTGACTTCACTGAAACTGTTCACTTACCAGACATGAAGGAGGGTTATAAGAAACCAGGAGTTGAATGTATCAGGAATCTGACACCCTAGAAAATAACAACAAAGTATAAATATGTGAGGATTACGAAGAATTGTATTAACTATATATAACATAGTGATAGAAATTTGTGCAAATAAACATATAGCAGTTATAGTGTTCTTAATCATGTTATCACAGAGAGGGACAGTGAGACCACAGAGCAAGACCATGAGTGAAGGAGCACTGAGTATAATCAGATAGCCAGTCATCGACTTTCGGTCCCTATTGTCTGTCACCTTGCTCTCTGGTCCTTGGACAAATCACTTCTCCCTGAGCTTCAATTTTCTCCCCCATTTAATGTGGTCTTTATGCTTCCTCTCAACTTCTTTGTGATTATATATTATCCTTTCCTATACCACCTATATTCTTATAAAAAGTTAGGCAGGGACTATCTCCCCTCTCCCACTTAAGTATAAGCTTTTTTCCACTTGCGCCCAGAACTTTAAGTCCTTCTAGTCTGAGTATGAAAGCTGACCACATCTAATGTTGGACTTTTCAGTTTTAGATCCCACCAACCAGGTCAGTGTCAAATCCCAAGCATCTCAATTCTCAGTCTCTAAAAATTAGCTGGAGGATGGGCCTCTCACTGAATGTGCCTTTTTTTTTTAATGTGCCCTTTTTATTACATGACAGGAGACAAGTTGGAACAGAAGAATGAAGAAAAGAGAGAATTAAAGAGAAATGTGGGCTTTTCAGGAGAATCTATCCTTTGGGGCAATGACCTAGGAGAGAAATGCTATCGTGTTCCTTTAGCAATCGGTAAATAATATGCTACATGATCACAAGTAGAGGTCATTACGCAATATGTTACCTGTCAGGTACACTAAAACCAAAGAAGTTAAATCAGTTGCTATTGAGTCCATTTGGACTCCTAGGTGCTCTGTGTGTCAGAACTATGGCCTCCAAGACAGTCATGGCTGTGACCTTTCAGAAACAGGGCTTTCTGCTGAGACATCGCTGGGTAGGTTTGAACCACAGCCTTTTGTTAAACCATCAGCACCATCCAGGAACTCCTAAGGCCCACGAATAGCACCAGTAATAATAAAGACTGTAGGTGTCAGGCATCAACATAATTGGTGCGTTATATGGATTAACTCAATGTATCCTGCCAACAACCGTTATCAGGTGGGTATGCATCTACCCCGTTTTACAGGTTAGAAAACTGACTTTTTGAGAGATCAAGACCGCTATTCCAGATCACATAGCGATGAAATGAGACAAGTGGGATCAAATTCAGATGTACTTGATTCCAGATATGAGATTCTTAATCAGTACTCTAACTGCCTCTATGCATACAATATTAAGATCAGAAACTAAAACTCACTAAGGGCCTACACTGGGTGCGAGGTCCACTGCTAGTCATGTTAATATATTATCTCAATCCTCAATTTAAGTCTGCAGGCAGGCATTATAAATCCCATTTTAGAGACAAGGAAATAGACTCAAAATATTAACAACTAGTAGCAAAACTGCGTTTGAATCCAGGTCTGTCACAAAGTGACACCAAAATACTCTAGTGAGCTTAATGGGTGGTGCCCAGCAGCTGTCAAGTGGACTTCCTCTCAGAGCCCAGCAGGAGGGAGGTGAAGGCTGGCCTGGCCAGCCGTACAGCTATTAAGACACATGCCATCTGAGAGTGGGCCAACCACCCTCCACCTAGAACGAGAATAGCCATGAGAAAATCTCAAGCCCAGATACTGAAGCTGGGTCTTTTTTGGAGGTTAGAACAAAACATTAAAAAGAAAAGTTTTCTTGGAAGTCTGTCTTTCAATTTGGAAAACGAAATTTGGCCGCTTTTAAAGGACAATCTGTTCAATTGCTACCTCTACATCAAAGCTTCTCAGCAGCCTCCAGGAGCCTTTCCAATTTTCTCAGAGAGGGAACCAGATCTTGGGCTGGAAAGCACAGACAGACAGGCCAGCAGCTGGACTTGGGTCACAATTTTCCCTTCTGGAGGTCGGCTCAGGGCTGAGGATGAGAAAAGTGCTAGCACATGATTAAGTCTTTGTACCCATCAGGGTCAGAACAGAACCCCACAGGGTGGTTGTTATTGTTTTGTTATGTGCCAATGCATCAATTACAATTCACAGTGATCCTACAGAACAGAGGTGAACTACCACTTATGGCTTCCATGCTGTCATCTTTATGCAGCACACTGCTACACCTTTCTCCTTTGGAAATGATGGGTTTGAACCAACTACCATGTGGTTAGCAGCTGAGTGCTTACCCACTGTACCACCGGGGCTCTTTACCCACATGGGAAAGCCTTAAAAAGAAGACCAGTGGTTGTTGACTGTGAGCAATGCAAAAATACAAGAGATTATTCAAATCAATGAAATATGTTTAATACTTTGTGGTGCAGTAGAACTACTTAGTATGGCTCTTCTGTGCATAGTTTTGGGAACTTCCACCAAATGACTGGGTGGAACCATGGAAATAGGTGTAGAAGGCTCTAACTCCAGGTTTGTCAGCTTTGTCATCCCACTGGATCGAAAGTAAATCATTTCAAAAGCAAGAGCAGAGACTCTGCAAGAGCATCAAGAGAGAAAAGCTATGGAGCATATCCAAGATCCCTGGGTAGAGAAGAGGAGTGGCAACCATTGAGACCATGAGGCAGACTGTCGGGATTCCCAACCTATGGAAGAAGTAAAGCTGAGTGCCTTCGGATAGAAGGATGGCTTACAAAGTGAGGTACTCTTCGGCATTTATTAGCATTGAAGGAGACAGAAACCCAGGGTCTCTTAGCAAAGAGGCCAAGTACCGGAGAGAGACCTACCTGCCAACATGGCTGAGAAGTGGCGACATAGACAAAAGAGCCGTAACCTTAATGTTTTCTGATCCTAACCAGTTGTAACGTGTTAACTTCCCTAATGGACTCCTATACTCCTGAATAATGTCTGTGAGTTCTGTGCGGCCATTGCAAGGAATTATCACACCCAGCAAAGAAGTAGAGTGTTTCTGACCTCTGCCTCACAGAAACCAGCTTTGGGCTGGTATAGAGTTAGTCTCCATCCCCCTCATGGACCTGGATGAGGTCAGCCTGGCTTCCATGGCACGTCCTGACACTTCAAAGTTACACTCGCCAGAGTCTTTTGTTGTTATCACACTCTCGCTCCAATGCACACTCACTCGGTCTATTCTTTTCTGAGGCTAGGCATTCACTTTCATTGCAATTACAATAAGTAGACATTCTTGTCATTGGAAGACAGTATAAACAAAGTTTGACAATCCAGGCTTTGGGATCGGATTGCCTGATTCAAACTCTTGACTCAACCTCTTTACCTGTTTGTTATATGACTCTTGGTAAAGTTATTTAGTCTCTCAGTGCCTCAGTTTTCTATTCTGCAAAAATGAGGATTAAAAAGAGAACCAACCTTATAGGGTTTTGTGAAGATTAAATGAGATAGGGCCTGTAAAATGTTTAGTGCAATGATTGGCATCTAACGGGTATTCAACACATATTTAATAAATATTGGCGTCCCCAGGCATTACAAACTGTAACATACTTGGCTGCTAATAAAGTTCAAAGATTTGCACTACCTAAGAAGAAAGGCCTGGCAATCTGAAAAAGGCCACCACCTGAAAACCCTGTGGGGCACAGCGTCCCTCTGACACACACACACACACACACACACACACACACACGGACGGACGGTTGGAACAGACTAGACAACAGAGCTGTTTGTTTGGGGTTTTTTTCTCCCAATACATAATAACTATTGTTTTTCAAACTAAAGAAGTTGGTAGGATTCTCCAATTTCTTTATCATTAACTTTAGTGGATGGTGCGCACATTTGAATAAAAGTTGTTTAGCTAGACTTTCTTTTAGGTGTATAAATATTATAATAAGCATCAAATCAAGCAAGATGCACTGATAATTATTGGTGAATGGAATGTGACAGTTGGAAAAAAGAGGAAAACTATGGCCTTGGTGATAGAAACTAAAGTGGGGATCGAATGACCGAAGTTTACAAGACCAACAATTTCTTCATTGCAAATATTTTTTCACAACATAAACAGTGACTGTACACATGGACTTCACCAGACAAAATACACAGGAACCAAGTTGACTACATCTGTGGGAAGAGACAATAGAAAAGCTCACTATCAGTAGTCAAAAAGAAGCCATGGTCTGAGTGTGGACAAATATCAATTGTTCATATGTAAGTTTATGTGGAAGTTGAAGAATATTAAAACAAGTCCATGAGAGCCAAAATATGACCTTGAGTACACCTCACCTGAATTTCAAGAATATCATAATAAATTTGACACAGCAATCACTAATGACAGAAGACCCGATGAGCTGTGTGGGATGACATCAAGAACATCACATACGAAGAAAGAAAAAAGTTATTAAATAGGAAAGAGAGAAAGATCAGAACTGGAAACACAGGGAATCCAGGACAGATAAACCTCTCAGAACCAATAATGAGAATAGCGATACCAGGAGGGGAAGGGGAAGGTGGAGTAGAAAAGGGGAACCGATCACAAGGACCTACATATAACCAACCCCCTCCCTGGGGGACAGACAACAGAAAAGTGGGTGAAGGGAGATGTCAGGCAGTGTAAGACATGACAAAATAATAATAATTTATAAATTATCAAGGGTTCATGGAGGGGTGGGGGGTGAGAAGCTGATACCAAGGGCTCAAGTAGAAAGAAAATGTTTTGAGAATGATGATGGTGACAAATGTACAAATGTGCTTGACACAATGTATGGATGTATGGATTGTGATGAGTTGTACAAGCCCCCAATAAATGATTTAAAAAATAACATACTTAAAAACAAAAAGGAAGATCAAAATGGATGGTGGAAGAAACTCTGAAACTTGCTCTTAAGTGTAGAGTAGCTATAGCAAGGAGGAGAATGATGACGTAAAAGAGCTGAATAAAACATGTCAAAGAGTGGCTCGAGAAGACAAAGTATATAGCAAATATGCAAAGACCTGAGTTAGAAAGCCACAAAGGGAGAACATGCTCAGCACATCTCAAGATGAAAGAACTGGGGGGGGCGGGCGGGGGAATTCAAGCTTTGAGTTGCAATATTGAAGAATTCTATGGGAAAAATGTTGAATGATGCAGGAAGCATCAAAAGATGATGGAAGGAATACAGTCACTGTTCCAAAAAGAACTGGTTGACATTCAACCAGTTCAAGAGGTAGCATATGATCAAGAACCAATAGTATTGAAAGAAGAAATCCAAGCTGCACTGAAAGCATTAGTGAAAAACGGGGCTCCAGGAACTGCCGAAATACCAACTGAAATGTTTCAATAAGCTGATGAAGCAATGGAAGCACTTACTCATCTATGCCAAAAAAACCTGGAAAACAGGTACCTGGCTAACCCACTGAGAGTGATCCATATTTGTATCTCTTCCAAAGAAAAATGGCCCAACAGAATGCTGAAGTTATCAAACAATATCATTACTATCACATGCAAGTAAAGTTTTTCTTTCTTTTTTTTAAATCACTCTATTGAGGGCTCGTACAACTCTTATCATAATCCATACATACATCCATTGTTTCGTTTGTTCTGTTGTATAAGAGGGTGTGAGCAGTCAGAACCTACTTGACAGCAGCTAACAACATTATTTTTCAGTGAATCGTGTGAATTTGAGGGTGTAAATTATCCTTTTAAATGTTTTTCTAATGATTTGAGATTGTCTCAACGAAGAGATGAAGAGTTTCCCTTCCAACCACTGACTCAGAACTTATTTACTAAGGAGCCTCTTCTCTAAGATAACCAGTCACTTAGGGGGCTAAAGACAAAGCAGTTCACAGACAAGAATATGACATTAAACTTTAAGTTTTACTAATCTGCCACCTTTTCTCTGAGTGCTTTTCCTCTGAGAACAGATTTCCAAAAGACCAGTCAGCAAAGCACTGGCTGCTGACCCAGAGCACTCCTTTACATCCCAAATGAAATCATCAGAACATCTTGCCAATCAAAATCCCCAATAGCCAGCTTTCTGGGCCCTAGACTCTTGAGCACTTTGGCTCTGAGATGAAGAGGGTCTGTAACTTTGCCATCTTGCCTAAGACATTGATGGGCTGTTTGCCAAAATTCCTGTGGGTAAACAACTCATTCTTACACAATCTTCATGAAGATAAATGAGATAACAATCACCAGCTACCTGAGGTTCTCTGTTCTTCAAGAAAATTACTCAGTTTCTAGGACTATGAAAGTCAAGTGAGCAATGGCCACTTTAAAGGTGTAACTTGGAAAAGAAACATATTCCCTTCTTCTCTTACCCCAAACCTGCCTGTCTCTTCTTTAGAATCCAAGCTATAGAGACACCAGTCTCATTAGTCTGTAGTCCGTATCTTATGCCTCCAAACAGTCCTTTCCAGACTGGTTTTCTTTTGGTTTAGAAGACATCATTTAGAACCACTTTGGTTTCATTTAAAATTCTAATCTACCCACAAATGACAAAGATAGCCCACAGAACACCAAGATGCAAACAAATGTGCTGTTGACTGATCTTAAAAGGCAAGCCTCGAATCAAGGCTTAGAAATCTGAACAAAATTTTAAATTTTCATGGACTCTAGAATTTCTGAAATCATGGACGGTGGCTAGACCCTTGAAACTATTGCCCTAAGATCATCTTTAAACCCTGAATGATAAATATCTTCATAAAACTGAACAATAGGTTAGCTTCACTAGTATAAAGGGACAGCTTTGAGTATTCTGTCAAGAACAACTCATAAAGATTAAGATAGGAACCTTACGGGGCAGTAGGTTCCTGTTAATGATAGAGAACAACTCCGAAAAGGAGGGTGAGAATGTCTACACAACTTGAAGAACGTATGTAAGCAATGTCACTAAATTCTACATGTAGGACCTACTGAATTGGTGTGGATTTTGCTGTGTGTATTCTCAACAGCAGCAGCAAAATAAATTAAGAAAGAGAGATGTAGCCATTTGAAAACTTACTACCTCCTTAGGTCACTACTTTAAAGGCAACCTATGACGATACACACACTGACATGCACATGCTCTGGCAGGTTGAATTATAGTTTACAATGCCAACAACATCTCATAGAGGTGCTATTCATTTAAAATAGAAGACTGCTAAGATTACAATTTCTAATTTTCAGTTATTGAGTGAGTTTTCATTCTTTTACATGCAATAGTTAATAAAAAATTCCTGGATTTTAAGCTAGATAACATAGATTTAAGGTTTGGCTGAGCAACTCTTAATCTTTGAATTGATTCTGAAAACAAAACAAAAATGAAAGTAATACAAGCCCTTCCTATCCAATAAGGATTTTCAACACTACATGAGATTAAAATTTGAAAGTACAGTATGAAAATATGAACTACTAATATGTTAACTAATAGTTTTTATAAAATTTTCTTAATATTTAAATCAATTTCTCTAAATTTGACTATGTTTTGAAATATTAACTTAAATACTGTTTTAAAAGTCTTATTGTCCAGTAATTAAACCCATGAGTTTTCAATAAGGAAGAGTTGGGTAAGACAGAGTTAGCTAGTATACATCCTTTCAAAATAATAACTATATGTACTTCTGAGTTATTTATTGAACTAAAAATTAAACAGATACTATGAGATTTTTAAAAATCTGAAGAAAAGTATTTAAGCACATGGATTGAAAAAGTCACTTAAGAAAATTTCAGCTTCCAATATTAAGTTTCTTCATCAGGTAGAGCAAGGATATTTTCTCTTTCAGACTCATTTCTCCGAAACAAAAAACTATCAGAAGCTAACAGAAGAAAAAATTTATTTCATGGATTTGAATAAATAAGAAATTTAAAAGGTGAATATTACCCCAGGATTATAATACAGTACATTTCTAATACCAACCTATTGAAATGATGAAAGAGGCAAACTTTTATTTGGTTTAAAAAACAAAATAGTTATAAAATAGTCTAAACTGCATTTAGCTTTCTTCATTGTTAGCATGACTACATATGAATATCTGTGATTGGGGGAAAAATATCCAGAGGATAAAGAGTTACATGTCTGTTGCTTTGAGGATAATGGCAAAGATCATAGATCTGCACAGCATATATTTCATCCTAAATCTATGGTTGGAAATGGCTTAAGCATTCCCAATGGCTTTTTACAAGTGTCTGTTTAATTAACTTTGCTAATCCATACAGCTTATAATATGAAAGTGAATACTGCATTGCTACAATCAATTACTCATAGTGGCTTGGCCGGTAAGATCCTTATTGAAAACAAACTATCAATAAAGTGTATAGACAACAAAATTATAGTTGCCCTTTGACGCAATAGTCAAGAAAATAGAAGAAAATCCATGAGGCTTATTCTACCATTAACTGAAACAATTAAACATTACAAACAAAAACAAGAATGACTGGCAAAATATTTCACATCAAAATGCTAAGCTAAACATCAGAATGAAAAATAGATGATATGTTTACTGATATATAATAAGATTTACATGCATGGAAAAGGGAATCATAATGCTAAGTATTAGACACATTTTTAGTTTTGTACTACATTTATTATCTATTAATTTATTTTAAAATTTCTATTTTATTATTTACTCTTTAGGTCTTTATTCTGTTAAAGAAAAAGCGACTTGTGCTAAATATGTAGGTAAAATTGTTCCAGTAGAAACTTTAAATCATCTATCCTCTTTATATACAATAATAAGAGTGAAAGTAAATTGATTTTCCTTTTAATAACTATCAGACAGTAACTTACTTAGAAAGAATTCCTCGAAGTCAGTTTTCTCCACACAGCTAGTATACATGCGCAGGGCCGCAATCTTAATCTTCTAGACAAAGAGAATAAAACCAAACTCAAGACATGACTGAGTGAATGTTCTGGTGTCATTAGCTGTAGGTCACAGAATCTTGTATTTCTTTAGTCAGAAGGAAGGGTCTTGACCCATTTCTTTATAAGCCAACTTATAACTAAATCAACAGATTTTTTTCCCTTAAAAGCTAGCCATTCATATAGACTTCACACAATTTTCACTCAAATGTCAAAAAGAATTTTCCAGTATCTAAATAAAATCTTTTTAAAAACCTTTAATTCAAACCCATTTTACCATATTAGAACCTCTAAACACCATTTATATAAAAACTCTCTATTCTGAGACCTTTTAATTAAGAAAAAGTGTAATAGAAATCACTCATTCTTCTTACCAAAATCAAACAAAACTTTGATCCCTTCATCTTTCCTCAAATCACTATTCTGTAAATTTTTGTCTCTATTTCCTGTTTTATAGTGTGTGGATTAGGATAAGACTGTGTATATATTTTTTAAAGCCTGCATATATAAATAAGGTTTTTTAATTAACATAATAGAGTAGAATTATCCTATTACAATATTCTGAACCACTAAGAATTCTCTTAGAATCTTAACATGAGAGCTGGTTTTAATTTATTCACTTAGCTGTATATTTAAGATTGTAAGATATTTTTTACTGTATTGTAAATTGTTTTGATAAAAATAAATTTTAAAATAAATGATTGTAAGAATTAAATGACAGATATGAAGACCAACTCAATACTAAGAAACATGTATTACTTATGAGGAAAAACAGCACAAATGTGTAACAAGTGGAAATCAGATATGCTTTATTGTGTTTATGAGTAAATCAGCACTAGAAGCCCAGCTTTAAATAATTCAATCTCGTCGATAAAACACTAGAAAAGCATATTAAACTCAAAGCAAGCAGAAAAAGGCATAGCATAAATAAGAGAAATCAATAAAATTAAAAACAAAAGTACAAAAGAAAAGTAATGAAGCCAAAGCTGGTTCTTTGAAAATACCAGTAAAATTAACAAACCTTTAGCCAAGGCTGATGAAGGGAAAAAACAAGACACAAAATAAAGAAGATACAAATGACCAGTGTCAGCAATCACAGATGGGACATCACTAAAAAACTTAAATAGGATCCTAAATAGAAATAATAGTATTGCTGAGAACATTAATAAAATAATAAATATGATGGAACTTTATGCCAATACATTTCATTAATTAATTGTAATAGATAAATTTCTTAAAAGACAGAACAATCAAAGATCAGAATAATTAATAGTTCTAAAAAAAAACCATGAACAGTGCTCTATTAAAAAAATTAGATTAAAACCTTCCCATAAAAAACAAACAAACAAACAAACAAACAAAAAATGCCAAGTCCTGATGACTTCACTAGAAAAGTCTACCGAACATTTAAGGATTAAAAAGTACCAAATCCAGACAACAGAAAAGTGGGTGAAGGGAGATGTCGGACAGGGCAAGATATGACAAAATACCAATTTATAAACTATCAAGGGCTCATGAGGGAGAGGGGAGTGGGGAGGGAGGGGAAAAATGAGGACCTAATGTTGGGGGTTTAAGTGGAGAGAAAATGTTTTGAGAATGATGTACAAATGCGCTTTACACAATTGATGTGTGTATGGATTGCGATAACAGTTGTATGAGCAACTAATAAAATGCTTAAAAAACAAATAAATAAATAAGAAGTACCAAATCTACACAAATTCTTCCAGAAAATGGAAGAAAGAAAATTTTCCAGCTCTTTCCATGAGGTCCACCAGTTCCCTGATATTAAAACCAAAGTTTTAATACAAGTTTTCTTATACTTCAAGAAAACTATAGATCCTTTATGAACGCAGATGCAAAAATCCTAAACAAGATATTTAGCACATCAAGTCCATCAACATTTAAAAAGGAAAACATACATCATAATCAGTGGGATTACCCCATGAAGGCAAAATTAAACACTTGCAAATTATTCAGTGTAATTCACCATATCAGCAGACAAAAATAAATGAAAACGTGAAGCATGCAATAGACGCAGAAAAAGCATCAGACAAAATCCAATACTCTTCATGATAAAATGTTCAAGACAAAGCATAAGGGGACAGTGTTTAGAATGATTAAGGGCACCTACAAAAAAGCTACAGCAAACAACATTTTCCATAGTAAATTATCCTAAGGTGACATTAGAATAAATTCAGTGGTCCAGAGGATTGGTAGCTGTTTGTCTAGTCAAAGTCTATTTCCAAAGCCGTCTTCTGAGGAACACTAGTCCCGGAAGTGGCTTTGGGGGGGGTCGGGGTTCAATAAGTTTTGGAAATGTCACCTACAAATATCCCCTTACTGGGGCTTCTAGAAGCTATTGTTCTCTAAGTTACTTAAGTCTTAGAGCAAATAAGCCTGTTTAACTTTGTTTATATCTGTGGTTCATGAAGGTATTTGACTACAAAACACATTTTGAGAAGCAATAGTCCACACCATCACCAAACTGATAGCCTAACGATATCATTCTCTGAATACTTTTGTATCTTGTTGACAGGGAGGTTCCAAGCCCCACGTCTTTCCCTTTGGCCCTTGGGAAGGAGGTTTTCCCACACACCGTGTCCCTAAAGGAAGCAATCATTACAATAATGAAGACCTCACCAGATTGGCCTGCATATTAATACAGTGCTCATACTGTGGTAAACAGGAGCACTTTATAGTTCCTCATTTTTCCTGCAGCCAAGCCAAGCCTTTGTACTTGGGTGAGCCATTTTCCTGGACAAATCTCTAAAGCAAGTCCCTCAGGACGATCACAGAGGGCCTGGAAATAACATCTTGAAAAGTCATGCATTAATATAAGTTAAGGAGGAAGGGGGACTAAATTTCCACAAAGTCAATACAAGTTGTTCTGGTCCTTGGATGACTTCAAGTCTATTTCATTCTAACTTTGGAGGACTTCATCACTCTACATGAGTAAAGCAGAAGCACCTTAGGTGGCTTTAAGACGTAAAAATCAGTTTTCCAACTAACTGATGTATCTTATACTACCCTACCAGATGAAAACCAAGTAAACGGCTTCTCTGACAGTGTGTGAGAGTTACATGGGGTTTTGAAGTTATTCATACCTGCTAATTCTGTACTGAAATTCCTTCTATAATATTAATTCGCAGTCCACCACCTAGGCCCTATTCAAAGAAATGCAATGACTTTGAGTTTTGTTTGCTATTAGATCTTTGTTTCATTGAACTTAAATCTGCTTCATGTAACATTCCTTAGATTTTATTCTGCCACCAGAGAACCTCAGATTGAGTGTCCTGTTCTTTCTTAACATTTGCTCTTCAAAGCCCGACAAGTATTATCCTACTAACTCCTCTTTTCCAGGCAAAATGTCTCACGTCCTCAAACTGTTCTTCATGGTTTCTAAAGCTTTCACAGGCCCAACGTCCACTTCTGAGTGCATTCCAGTTTGCCAATATTCTTCAGAATAAGAATGATTTTTTGGCTCAATTCTAACTTAGAAATGGCCTATACTGTGACATGTGGCTGACTCTAGTAAATATTGTCTGTATTTTACCTGATGTTCCTATATAGCATGGGTTAGTCCAGGTTGACAAGCGAAACAAATCCAGAGATACTCTTATGTGTATAACAGAGAGCTTTATATCAAAGAACAATTGTATGCTGAGAAAACATCCCAGCCCAGTCCAGATCAAGTCCATAAGTCTGATATTAGGCCATATGTCCAATACTAGTCCATAATTTTCTTCTTCAGACTCACATAGCATATGAAATCATGCCAAATGCAGGAAGATCACAGGCCAGTGGGTGGAAAGTCTTGTGGATCCAGTCGTGGGGCATCTGACATGATGCTCCCCCAGTTCTCTGAGTGTCTTAACAGCAGGAAAGTGAAGCAGAGAGAATATGTAGTCCGCCTCTTAGAAGAAAGAGAGGAAGCTCCCAAAATCCTCATGAGAAGGCCATGCCCACAAAGAGAAATCATCAGGCTGTGACCTGACTGACAAGCTAGACTCCACCCCTTTACTCTTAATATCCTCAAATTGACATGAGATTACTTAACTACCACATAGCGTAATGAGAAAGAATGATTATTTCAGAATAAATAAGTACCGTATATACTCATGTACAAACTGAGTTTTTTCAGCACATTTTAAATGCCGTTTTTGTGGTAAAATTAGGTGCCTTGGCTGATATTCAGGTTGGCTTATACTCGAGTAAATACAGTAACTTAAAGTTATGTCCAAAATCCTAAATAAGAGTCTTAAGGAAAGATGGGAACCACACATAGAAATATTACAGAAAATCATCTAATACACAACTATTGAGTGTACTGTTTCCTGTAATCGGGTGCAGCAAATGAGAATGAAGAGGCTCAAAATAAGAAATTAGTCTATGAAATCAATGGTTCACCAAACCCTAACCTCTTCAAATCTAAGCCCAGAAGAATTAAGATGATGTCCAGCTATCACTACTGACCATTCTGACCAGGGATACAATAGAAGGCCCTATATATAATGGGAGAGAAAAGTAGAATAAAACTTAAAATTAAAAAAAAAATTAAGCCTAGCCCCACTGAACCAATTGGGACTATAGAGGAATAGCTTCCCTTTGAACTCGAAACTGAAGCAATTTCTGTGGGTCATCTTTCAGCCAAGTAACAGATTGGCTTAGAAAAGAAACCATATCACCCATGAGTAATGGGGACACTTTAAACAATTAACTATGTAAGGAAGAGAAAGAAACTTAGATTAATGGAAACAAAACAAACAGAATGGAAATAACAAGCATACTGACCCAAAAAAGCAACCTCACTGCCATGGAGTCAGTGCCAGCTCAGAGTAACCCTACAGGGTAATGGGGTAGAACTGCCCTGTGCGTTTCTGAGACAATCACTCTCTATAGAAGTTAAAAGCCTTGTCTTTCTCCCAAGGACTAGCTAGTGGTTTCAAAGGGCTGACCTTGTAATTAGCAGCCTGACATATAATCACTAGGCCACCAGGGCTCCTTGAGAATGCTGACGCAATGTACAAATTGTAGCCAATCACAGGGAATAATTTGTATAACCAGGAAAAGACCCCAAACCCATTGCCATCAAGTAGATTCCAACTCTTAGTGCTCCTATATAGGGTTTCCGAAGCTGTAAATCATTAGAGGAGTAGACGGCCTCATCCTTCTGCAGAGTGGCTCGAGCTTAAACCAATGGTTCTCAACCTGTGGGTCACAACCACTTTGACGGTCAAACAACCTTTTCATAGGGGTCGCCCGATTCATAACAGTAGCAAAATTACAGTTATGAAGTAGCAACGAAAATAATTTTATGGTTGGGGGGTCACCACAGCATGAGGAACCTGTATTAAAGGGTGGCAGCATTAGAAAGGTTGAGAACCACGGGTTTAAACCGCCAACCTTGCAGTTAATACTCCAATGCTTAGCCAACAGCAGCAACAGGGCTTTTGAAACTTCCAGCTAAAATACAATAACTATTTTTTGTTGTTACAGGAAAAGATGGTTGATACTACTGATGTAGATAGACAACAGAAATTTCTTTCCTCATCACGCGGTTTTTTGTGAAAACAAAAGTTCAAAGAATTTTGCCACTGCAATCCAATATGGATGTTTAACCATCGACTTGATACAACAACGAACAGGGCTGTAAAGGGCTCTGGCTGAGCCGGTTTTAAACTGAAAAATTTTGCCTACATTTTCCGACCTAAATTACACGAGAATGTCATGCTTTAATGTTTTGGTGTCATAAATTAAATTATGATGGTAGATATTTGCCACATCACAAAAGATTTTTTTAAATGCAATCATTAAAGAATTAATTGAGGTCACACAAAAAATCAGAGGCTAATTTAAGCTCAAAGAGTGAAGAAACTTTCCTGATGACTTAGTAATCCTCCAAACAGTAAGCCAATTTTCCCTCTTGAATCATGAAAAAACAGGCTAGACAAAGCATATGGTAGCAACCAACTGGAACTCAACAGCCAAAAAAAGAATGAAATAGTAAATTTTTTTATTTTCTTGTGTGTAGATTTCTAACATTTCATTCTGCTTTCACGTCCCTCTTCCTTTAATTAATTTCTAATTTTAAAACCAAACTACATATTTAAGCTTTTAAACCCAAATGTTAAAACTTATAGCTTTAAAAAAAAAAAAACTTACAGCTTTTTTTCCAGGAATAATTCTAGTTAATAACATTATCAATTATATCAACAATATCAACTGTCAAAGACTTAAGATTTTTTAAATGACTTTAATAATAAAGGAGAGTATTTCTTTGATGATTAAAGAGGTATTTCATAACTTTAAGGTCTCAAGAACATTATTATTAACTAGTATGAGAGGAAGTATGTAAAAAAATGAAATTAAAGGATAATGGACTTTTTCAAAGAATTTCTTACTGCCGTCCATATTTACATGATCAAGGAGCCCTGCAGGTACAATGGTTCAAATCCAGAAGCTGCTTCATAAGAAAGAAATGTATCAGTCTGCTTCCATACACATTTACAGCTTTGGGAACTCTGTGAAAGTTCTAGTCTATGCTACAGAGTTGCTAGGAGTTCAAGTAGACTCGACAGGTATGGTCTTAAATTTTTGGCTTATTATCTTTACTTTCCAGAATCCACGGAAACTGTAAAGACAGCATTTATTGCCATGTAATTACTTAGAAGGGAAATAGACATTATAATAAACCAAAAATTAAAAATTATAAAAAATTTTAAATTCTCATTTTTCCCAATTTGTTAAAATGGTTTAATTGGAATTGTTTAGTCTTTTTAAGCAAAATTGCCTAACACTTTAATATATAATGAGTTACTGGTAAAACTTATCTAACATTTTACTAAAAACCCTGAAAAGTATTTCTACCCTAAGCGTAGAAAGAAGTAGTAGTATGTACTAGGATATAACTGGGCTGAGAAGAACTAAACCGCTAATACTTTACAAGTATAATTGATTAGAAGGCTATTATAGAAGCCCAGGGAAAATTTGTACCTGCTGCAGAGGGAATATTCATAACAGCTAGAGTCCCCAGGTGTTGCAGTTAACCCATATGGCTACTACCAAAGGTTGGCATTTCAAGTCCACAGAGGTACCTCAAAAGAAAGGCCTGGTAACCTACTTTTGAAAAATCAAACATAGAAAATCTTAAGGAGTACAGTTCTACTTTGACACATATGGAGTTGTCATGAGTCTAATCAACCTGACAGTGACTGTTACTGTTGTTTAAAAGATGATAAAACAGGTCCTAGTTGACGAGGACTAACACAGCTAGGAAATAAGCCTGCATGATAACGATTACCAAAAAAATCACAAGGTTATTTAATCTGTTAATAAAGAGATGCCTACTAGTAAAACTTTAAAGAAAGTCACTACAATCACCTAATTAAAATTACTTATAAATATGGATTCATTAGAGAATAATGTGTCCTTAAGAACACTGCTCACAGATGATCAGTGTCATTAGTCATCAGTGAGTTGCACATCAAAACTATAATAAGATACCATTTCCCTCCTGCTATGGCAACGAAGATTAAAAAAAAAAAAAAAAACAATCAGAAAATAACAAATTTCTGTGAGTATGTGGGGAAAATGGAACCCTTAGCCATTGCTTGCAGGAGTGCAAAATGGTACTCCAAAACAATCAAATTCACTGCCATCGAGTCAATTCTGACTCATAGCAGTGCTGTAGGGCAGAGTAAAACTGCCCTTGTAGGTTTCTGAGATCTGAAATCTTTATGGGAGTAGAAAGCCTCATCTTTCTCAAGTAGAGCAGCTGATGGGTTCAAACAGCTGACCTTGCGGCTAGCAGCCCAACTCCTAACACATTATGTTACAGCCATGTGGTGGTTCTCAAATGTGTGTGTGTGTATGTGTGTGTGTATACCCAGTAATTCCAATCCTAGGTAAATACTCTTAAGACTTGAAAAAACATAGACTCAAAAAGAGATTTGTAAACCACTGTCTATTTATAATAGCCAAATGATGAAAACAACTCAAATGCCCAACAGATGCATGGATAAAGAAAACGTGGTACAGACACACGTTGGAATACTTATCAGTAAGTAGAAGGAATTACATCTTGATACATGGCACAGTATGACTGAAGTTTGAAAATCACATCAATTATAGTAGAATTGGACCAATGAGTAGTATAATTGCTGTCAATAAATCGTGTGCCCTAAAAAACTGAATTGACAAAAGTTGTGTATAGATACATTTATAAGAATAACAAGGGGGGTGAGTAGCTGCTGAGGTTGCTTATATATATAACCAAAAACCTCATGAGATTTGGTCCGTCAGGAGATTTAGGGACATGGTTTTATGTGACATCCAAGTTAATTGACCTAATAAGATGTTTAGTATTTCTTTGTTAATTGACCTAATATGTTAATTGACCTAATAAGATGTTTAGTATTTCTAAATTTTAGTATTTAGTATTAGTATAGATTTTAGTATTAGTATTTCCAAACATATTTTTAGTATTTCTAAACATCTTTAGCAATTGACCAAGTTTATTGACCTAATGAGATGTCTAGTATTTCTGTTCAACCTCCTACTTCATTAAGTAGGGTTTGGGGTCTTAAAAGTTTGAAATTGGCAATCCAACGCACAATTGGTCTATATTTACCTTGGCATCACAAAGAAAGAAAAGTCAGCAATAGGAGGATATGTAATGTGTGCTAATTGCCTTATCAACAACTGTCTCTTGCCATGAGATCAGAAAGACTTAAATGATGCCAGCTACCATTAATAAATGTTTTGATCAATGATTCCATGCAATGATCCTGATCAAAAGTGGGGGGGACATGTAGAACAGAATTTCAAATTCTCAAATGCTAAACCTCTGTGGAGCCATGGGAAGTGGATGAACCCCTGAAACTATTGCCCTGGGATATTCTTTACACTTAACCCAAATATATCCCCTCTCGCTTTTTCCTTAAAACTGAACAATGGCTTAACTTCAATAGTTAAAAGGTTTAAGATTATAAAGGAACCTTTGAAGGCAATGAGTTTGTTAATGTTAAGGGAGGAGGAACACTCAGCAAAGAAGGGTAAGGATGGTTACCCAACAAGAATGTAATGTCGAGAAAATGTTTTGAGAAACGATGTACAAATGCGCTTTACACAATTGATGTGTGTATGGATTGGGATAACAGTTGTATGAGCCCCTAATAAAATGTTTTAAAAAAATTAAATTAAATTAAATTAAAAAATAAAAAAAAGAATGTAATGTCACTAAATTGTACGTGTAGAAACTGATGATGTGGTGTATGTTTTGCTTTGTATATTGTCATCAATAAAATAAAATATAAGGGGGGGGGATGAAAGAATACTGCTAAATCTGACTCCTTAGAACTCATCTGTATGGCATGGCATGTGGCCGTATGGAAAGCCCAGTCTTATTGCCAAGCCTGCTGCTGAGGTAGTGCCTAACAGGTTAAAAGAGGAGAGGGAGTATTTTGAGCCCCATATGTTGTAAAGCTTTAACTTGAAAGAGGGGAAGGGAACAGTATACGCATTTTGAGGTTCTCAAGATGGCATATGAATCTCACGGAAACAAAAGCTTTTAAAATCTTCTATGAAGTGTAGAGAACACAAAGTCCAAAAGGGAAAATGCAAAAAACTTAAAGAACGTTACCCATTTACTGTATTTCAAAGGTCCAGTGAATCCCATGGCTTCAATGAGCTTCGTGAGGGCACCAACTTTCTCCTCAACGGGCTGTGGAGAACCCTGGGTGGTAAGAAGCTATTTAACCAAACAGAAGGAACCAAAATTAGTTGCAGGAAAAGTCTGTAAAGAATGTTTTTGTTCCTCATTAGGTCTCAGGGCACTGTGATTGCTTTGATGCTTGTTTTTCCCACCTAGAGTTTGTTTTCGTTCCTTCCTTCCTGTTCTTTTTCTAAAGTGCCTTATTACATAGTTCAAACAGACCTGAAATTCTATTCATGTTCTCCAAATTTCAGCACAGGATTTGCCCACCTCAATGATCACAAACCTATCCCTCTATGCTCAGAGTATGATAAATATGTAGGGTGTGTATCAGAATAATTCTAAGGACAATTATGGTGAGATAATTTGGGGGGGAAATAGCAAGAATAATGGCAAAATTTGAAAAATGTAATATATATGTACATCACTAAACAATACATATAAAAACTGTTCAACTATTGTATGTTTTATTGTTTATACAAGGGAGCTTCAAAAAGTTTGTGGGAAAATATAATTAAAAGATAATAGAGGGCCAGAGCAGAGACCAAAACCCCATCTGTATGAGTCCCTAATAAAATGATTTTTTTTTAAAAAAAGGTGTCACAAAGGTGGGAGAGAAAGGGAGGGG